CCCCCCTCCATTTCTGCTAGTGATTCCACTGGCACTTCCACTGGTGGCGCCTCTGCTGTTGCCGCTGGTGGCTCTTCTAGTGCTGCTTCTGGTGGGCTTTTCAGCGCCTCCTTCAATGGCCCTTCCAGCAGTTCAGCTGATCCCACACTCCTCTCAGCTGCTGGTGCAGCTCGTGCAACCCATGCTGTGCTTTGAGGGGCCTCAATGCATGGTGCTGCTGCTGCTGCTGCAGCTGCTGCTGCAGCGGCAGCGGCAGCAGCAGCGGAGGCGGCAGTTGCGGCCGCTGCTAAACAGGCCTTTTCAGAGACTTCCTCTGCTGGGACGTTTGATGTGAAAATCCGGAGCTTCACAAAGCCCCTGATCATTGTTGGGCGAGGCAAGAGGGTAACAGGAATGGTTTTTGAGAATTCTAAAAAACCAGGGTAACAGGAATAGGGGCATTCTTTTTGTTTCTGTGTGCAACTGGGTGAACGTGACGGCGTGGGAGAGGAAGAAGAGAGTTAAAGCAGACAAGGGATGAGAAGAGGGGAGGAGAGAAGGATGTGCGAGGAGTGAGGAGATGCCAGGAAGAGAGGAAATGAGAGGAGGGAGGGAGAGAGCACTGACTGATGGGTGAACAGGTTAAAGTGGTGTTGAAGAGCAGGTTAAGATGGTTCAAGTGGGAAGGAGAGGGGAGACAAGAGGAGAGGAGGCAGATAAGCGGGTGAGAAGAGGGAAAGAGAGAGCACTAACTGGTGGGTGAACTTGATGGCGTTGGAGAGGAGGTTGAGCAGCACTTGGCGCAGGCGAGAGGGATCTCCCACGATGCAGCGCGGCACGGAGTCTACATCCATCTCCACCTCCAGCTGCATTGCACAAGAGGGGACCGCCAACCAGCACATGCATGAGAGGGAGGGGGAGAGGGATGAAGGGTGTTAGAAGGAGAGGAGGTTGAGCAACACTTGGCACAGGCGAGAGGGGTCTCCCACTATGCAGCACGGCACGGAGTCTAAATCCATCTCCACCTCCAGCTGCACGCACATTAGAGGGGGTTCCCAACCAACAAACGCATTGGAACACCAGGAAGGAGGAGGAGTGGACGGAGTTGAGGGAGTTTCAGGCTCACACCATCTCCCCCCCTGTCACAAACACCTATTCAACCACACTCTACCCCACTCCTTTTCACTCACCATAAGCCCTTTCCGTTGTGCCAGCACAGCAACAGCAGTCACAGCGTCATCCACTGTCTGCTGCAGGATCAACTCAACCACACTCAACCTTCCCCTATCACACTCAGCCGCATATACCACTCACCTTGAGCCCTTTCCGCTGTGCCAGCACAGCAACAGCAGTCACAGCGTTTGCTACTGCCTGCTGCAGGTGGAACGGGATGGACACGACCACACTCAACCTTCCTCAATTACAATCAGCCGCACTCATTGCCACTCACCTTGAGCCCTTTCCAGCTGTGCCAGCACAGCAACAGCAGTCACAGCGAGGTGACTTTTGAGTCGACTCAAAAGTCACCTAGTCACAGCGTCTGCTACTGTCTCCTGCAGGTGGAACGGGATGGACTCGAGCGCAAGAGAACGCGCTTCGATCTTGCTTATATCGAGTACGTCGGATATGATGTGCAGCAGACTGCTCCCTCTTCACTCAACCGCACAAAACCCCACTCAACCACATCCAGCCCCACTCAATCGCACTCACCTCGAGCCCTTTCTTTTGCGCCAACACACTGACAGCAGCCACAGCATCTGTTACTGTCTGCTGCAGGTGGAACGGGATGGACTCGAGCGCTAATGATCGCGCCTCAATCTTGCTTATATCGAGTACGTCGGAGATTATGTGCAGCAGGCTGTCTCCCGACGAGCGGATCACCTCGCAGTACTGCTGCTGTTCAGGGGTCAATGGCGTTTGCAGCAGCAGCTCCGCCACTCCCAGCACACCTGGGGGAATGGAGGGCGAAGGGGGAGAGAGGGGAGAGGGTGGGAGTACGTCAGATATGATGTGCAGCAGACTGTCTCCCGACAAGCGGATCACCTCGCAGTACTGCTGCTGCTCGGGAGTCAGAGACGTTTGCAGGAGCAGCTCCGCTGCTCCTAACACACCTATAAGAGATGGAGGGAAGGGGGGAGGGGTTGGTTGGGACGTCTTGAAAGTCCACACCCGACGAGCGAATCACCTCGCAGTACTGCTGCTGCTCGAGGGTTAGCGGCGTTTGCAGCAGCAGCTCCGCTACTCCTAACACACCTGGGGGAGGTAGAGGAGGGAGGGAGGGAATTGTAGGGAAATGGTCCGGCTGTCTCCCGACAAGCGAATCACCTCGCAGTACTGCTGCTGCTCGGGTGTTAGAGGCGTTTGTAACAACAGCTCCGCCACCTCCAGCACATCTGGAAAAGGGAGGGCGGAGGGGAAGAGAGGGGAGAAGGTGGGGAGATCTAATGGCTAATTTTCGCCAGGAACTGGCTCTTGGCGTGACTCGCCTTCTCCCTTCATGGAGCCCTGCGCACCCCTCACCTCTCAACTGCTCACCATTCATGGGGGTGCGGATCTCATGGCTGATGTTGGCCAGGAACTGGCTCTTGGCCTGACTCGCCGCCTCTGCCACCTCCTTGGCCTGCCTCAGCTCCTCCTCATGCCGCTTCATGTCCCGCAGGTCGTGCCACACAGATACCACCTCCCCCGGATGCTCCTCCTCGCTCAGAAACTGTGTGGACAGCCGCAAATACCAGGGAGGGGCGGGGGAATAATTGTTTCTCATGCCGCTTCATCTCCCGCAGGTCGTGCCACACAGATACGATGCTCCTCCTCGCTCAGAAACTGTTGCAGAGGGAGGGACGAATGGGTGGGGGGGAATGGGTAGGGCGACATAGGGAAACGTGGGGGGAGGTGAAGAGGGGTCAACGGACACCTTCCCACACATGTGCCTGCACCTACTCACCCCGTCCCACCCCCTCGCACCACTCCCCACCCCCTCTTACGCACCTGCACTTTGACCAGCACAGGGAACAGCTCCCCTCGAGTATCATAGTGCCACCACTTATCGATAGACGCCTCTCCTCGCAGCAGCGGCTGCACGAATCGCATCATCTTATCCGCCGTCCGCTCGGCCTCTCTTGCTGCCCTCTCCTCCCCTTCAGCTGGAACCCTGGCCCCTGGGGAAAGAAACAACGCTGCACTGCGCAACCCTTGGCCTTAAACATGAAACCCGGAACTATGCTGCACGCACCTGCACTTTGACCAGCACCGGAAACAGCTTCCCACGGGTATCACAGTGCCACCACTCGTCGATCGATGCCTCTCCCCGCAGCAGCGGCTGAACGAATCGCACCATCTTATCTGCCGTCCGCTCACCACCCGGCTGGACCTCCGGGGAAAAGGCGGCGGCGCCCAGCTTGTGACAGATGGCGGCCTTTGATTGGTGCCCGAGCATGCGCACTGCCGCTTCGTTGCACTCATGGATCAGCCTGTCTCCGCCGATTATAAATATTGGATCCTGTGTGTGGGGGTGAGGTGAAAGAAGGGAGTGGAATTGGGGGGAAGCGGGGTTCGGGTGATTGGTGTTCTAGCATGCATACTGCCGCCTCATTGCACTCGTGGATGAGCCTATCGCCACCGATGATGAATATCGGGTCCTGAGCGTGTGGGGGTCAGGTGAAAAGGTGGGAGTAGAGGTGGGAGTGTCGAACGGGGGAAAGAGGGGTTCGGGGTTTTGGCGCCCCAGCATGAGTGCTGCCGCCTCGTTGCACTTGTAGACGAGCCTATCGCTACCGATGATAAATATCGGGGCCTGAGTGTGGGGGGTTTAGTGGGAGAGGGGGTCTGGGAGTTCACTCAAAACTCGTGAAAAAACCTATCGCCGCCAATGATGAATACCGGGTCCTTAGGTGTGCTGGTTGGGGAGAGTGGAATGGAACAGTGGCTTTGCCGAGTTAACTCAAGTTATGAGCTAGACGATTAATGGGTGGACTCACAAGACATGGATGAGAGGGTTGCATTGCACGCACAGTTGTACTGTACGCGTACGACAATACTCACCATAGAGATCTCGAATATCCGCTTAAACTTCCCGTTGTACACGCCCTCGCGGATTTTCGCCTCCAGCGCCTTCAGCCGCTCCACTAACGAGTCCAGCTCCTTCTCTATAGCGAGTACAGCTGCAGCAGCTGCAGCAACAGGGAGCTGGGGTGGCAGCTGGGCAGCGGAGAAGCAACCCTCCAGAGCAGCAGAGATCGATTCCTGGATGGAACAGAGGCGGGAATAAAAAGCTTCTGTGTTTCCGTTTATTGATCATATCATGTAGTGTGGAGGGCAGAGGGCACCCGCCACTGCCGGTGTCAGGAGTTGCCTCAGAAGCAGACCCTAGGCAAACCAAAAGCAAACCATAATCCCTGTACCTGTTTGTCTTTCCACGTGGAGATGTCATGCAGTGTGCAGAGCAAAGGGTGATCGCCACTGCCTTGACCGGAAGCCATCCCTATCGGAGCCAGGCGTAGCTCAAACCATCTGAACCGTCCATTTGATCCGATGATGCCATCAGAGTTGCCATGACTGCTTCCAAAACCAGCACGGCCAAGGCTGCTGCTACTGCTGCTGTCGCCATGACTACTGTTGCTGCTGACGGTGCTCCGAAGCCGGACTTCCAGCACGGTGGCTTTGCTGTCCGCGTTAAGAGCATGGCTCCGTGCCATATAGCTCTGAGAGTGAATGCAATGGTTAGGTAAAGTGAACAATAAAGCCCGCTTCGTTATGGTAGGAGCGCGTGGGGCTCCTGATTGGAGCGGACTCTTGCTTTTCCAAGCACCTTGGAAAACAATGTGGACGAAAAGCGTTTGTGATTTAAGAGTCGACCCATGATCTTTGCAAGTGAACAGATGGTGGTGCGGTGATTTAGCGTATTCCATGCAAAGCCGCTCTAGTGAAATAAATGGATGTCAACATGGATGATGAACTCCAGGAACGAAACGAACTGTAACGAGTACAACGTGCTGACGGGTAAGTGGTGGCGGTGGGCTTACCTGAAACGCGCTCTGGTCGTCATCGTGAATCAGCTCCAGGAACGGACGGTGTTGAAGCTCCTGCTCGCCAGCATGGCCTGGCGACAGCGACTCGCGCATGGCAGCGCTGCACAAACAGTCACCAGAGGTGCACAGGCAGAGCGGGGTGGGTGGGCGGGGGGGGGGGGGGGGGGGGGGGGGGGGGGGTGGGGGGGCCGGGGAGGGAGAGTATGACAAGCTAACTGATTTCCATCTCGCCATCATGGCCTGGCGACAGCGACTCGCGCATGGCAGCGCTGCACGGAGGTGCACAGGCACGGAAGGTGAAGAATGGAAGCATTTCATTTTGAGTATCAACACCTAGCCAAGGCATGGAGTAAAACTGAGTCTCGGATCGCCAAGGCCTGACGAAAGCGACTCGCGCATGGCAGCGCTGCCGAAACAGGCACGGGAGGTAACGCATTGCACTTCATGTTGCCTTTTACGGCAAGTCCTGAGATGAGCTCGCTTGAGAACAACTCGCACATACTATCAACACCGTTTACTGCACAGGCACGGGTCGCGAAGCGACGCTTTGCATTGCATTACGCTTTGTGAAGCAACTCAGTGCTCAGCTCGCCGTGGCTCGTCATAAGGAACGAGAAGCGACACGTGTTCGTTGGAGTCTCCTCTTTGCTGAATATTTTCCGTTATATCTAAACGTTCACCTGAATACTCTACAAGTAGTACCTGCATTCGACGATCAGGCCATCTGCTGAGAGACAAGCCGCGGGAACATGCTCGCAGAGGGCTTCCGCTAGCATACGGCATTTCCTGGGTGAACTATCGTTGCGATCCATGGGGGCGATCAGAGTCGGAGACTCGAAAAAGGAGGATGCAAGAACCATTGCGCTTTTGCCTGGAATGTTTTTCATCCAGCTTTTCCTCCACGCCGATGCCAATGGAGTTCTAATTGGGAGGGTAGTTGTAAGGAATTTGCCAATTCCTTACTGTAGCCTTGCCTTAACGGGTACAGCCCGAGCACTTCGCGTCAGGTGGCTCGGCCTACATTGTCAGAATGTTATAGCTTACTTATTTGTGTAGGCTATAGTGGGGTATCCCATAGGGGGTACAACCCAACTAGGGTTTCCTATTTGTACTCACTTCATTCATAGTCATTTCATTCTCGTTCTAACTTTCTCATGGTATCGAGCAGGTTCCCCCGTGGGAACTTTGCTTAGGGCCCACCACATCGAACCTTTTTTTTCTGCTCCGGGCCCTTGCTCTTACTTTTTTTTTTCGATCTGCCCTAACGGCCCGAGCGCCGCCTTAGCGAGCCGCCCGCCCTAGCAGCCCGAGCGCCGCATTAGCGCCCGCGCCCCGCTGCTCGCCCTTGCGCCGCCTTAGCGGCCTCGCCGCCCTGCTCTCGCGGCCCTCGCCGCCCTTCCTCACGCGGCTCCGCCGCCCCTGATCTCGCGGCCCCGTCGCCCCTGATCTCGCGGCCCCGCTGACCCTGAAAGCGCGGCCCTCGCCGCCCCTGATCTCGCGGCCCCGCCGCCCAAGCGCTCGCGGCCCCGCCGTCCCTGATCTCACGGCCCCGCCGCCTCAGCGCTCAAGGCCCCGCCGCCCCTGATCTCGCGGCCCCGCCGCCCCAGCGCTTCCGGCCCCGCTGCCCCTGATACGCGGCCCCGTCGCCCCGGCGCTCCCGGCCCCGCCGCCCCTGATACGCGGCCCCGCCGCCCCAGCGCTCCCGGCCCCGCCGCCCCTGATCTCACGGCCCCGCCGTCCCTGATCTCGCGGCCCCGCCGCCCCAGCGCTCACGGCCCCGCCGCCCCTGATCTCGCGGCCCCGCCGCCCCAAGCGCTCCCGGCCCCGCCGCCCCTACTACGCGGCCCCGCCGCCCCTGGTCTCGCGGCCCCGCCGCCCCAGCACTCACGGCCCCGCCGCCCCTTGCTCTCGCGCCGCCCGACTGCAGCAGCCGAGCCGCCCAACTGCAGCAGCTGAGCCGCCCACCTGCAGCAGCCGAGCCGCCGTACCGCCGAGCAGCAATGCAGCCGAGCCGCCCTGCACCCGAGCCGCCCGGCAGCCGAGCCGCCCCGCCCGAGCCGCCCTACCGCCGAGCCGCCTGGGAGCCGAGTCGCCCGGGAGCCGAGTCGCTGAGTAGCCGAGCCGCCTTTCTACCGAGCCGCCCGACCTGCCCTGCCCGGTGAGCACTGTACCGCTCTCACTGCGTGCCCTTCCCCTACTGCTTGCACTGCTTCACTCTCGTCGTCATGGCTACCCCTAGTGTCCTCGCTTTTGACGCTGAGGGTCGAGCCATAGACTTTGAGGTCTGGCTCGACGACCTGCAGCTGTTTTTACAGTGCGATAGGGCGGACGGTCTGTCTCTCTTTGACCTCACCTCTGGCGCCGTCCCTTCCCCTGCTGCTGATGCTGACGCCACTGTTCGCTCACAGTGGGCCACGCGCGATGCTGCTGCACGTCTTGCTGTGCGTCGCCACTTGCCTACCGCTGAGCGCGCGCACTTTAGCCAGTACAAGAGTGCCCAGACCTTGTACGACGCTGTAGTTGCGCGCTACTCCTCCCCTGCCACTGCTGCACTGAGCCGCCTCATGCTCCCCTTCCTCTTCCCTGACCTTGCCGCCTTTCCCACTGTCGCTGATCTCATCACGCACCTCCGCACTAGTGACACTCGCTACCGCGCTGCGCTTCCTGCTGACTTCTGCGCCAAGAACCCCCCCCCATGTACATCACTCTCTACTTCTTAGTCACTCGCCTCCCTGACTCCCTTCGTGTAGTCCGGGACCACTTCCTCGCAGTCTGTCCCACCACCCTCACAGTCGACAGCCTAGAGAAGGCCCTCCTTGCAGCAGAGAAGAGCATAGTCGCTGTAGGAGCCTCTCGAGGTGACCCCCGCGCCCCCATCTTTGAGGGGTGTTCTCCTTCCCCTCTCCTGCCCTCTGTCGCCTCTGCCGCTGCGGCCGACCTCGTTGGTCTTGAGTCGGTCGGTGCGGCGTCTGCCCCTAGCGGGAGACGCCGCTCTGGCAAGGGCAAGGGGGGCAAGGGAGCGGGTGGGGCCAGTGGGGGCGGTGGCGGTGGAGGTGGAGGCGGCGGAGGGAGTGGGGGTGGCGGTGGAGGTGGTAGCGGGGGTGGGGGTGCTAGTGGCAGCAGTGGAGGCGGGAGTGGCGGCGGCGGTGGCGGTGGTAGCGGAGGTGGCGGAGGTGGCGGCGGTGGAGGTGGAGGCGGGGGCGGTGGAGGCGGAGGCGGGGGTGGCGGAGGTGGAGGTGGTCGGAGTGGAGCTTCGCAGCGGAGCGGCACTGGTGGCGGTCAGCGCCAGCAGCAGCAGCAGCAGCAGCAGCAGCAACGTTCTCGCGACGTCCCCACCCCTCAGCAGCTCCGTGAGTGGTACACGCAGCGTCAGCGCGGTGGGGGTTTTGGTCCCTGCACCTACGTTCTCCGCACTGGCGACCGCACTGGAGAGCAGTGTGGGGGTGCCCACTCCGCCCAGCGCTGCTTTGGCCGCCTGACGGACGCTTGGCGTCAGCAGTTCCCGGAGGCCGCGGAGATCCCCCGCTGGGGAGAGCTGTCTAGGGCTGGTGTAGCTATCTTTGATCTTGATTTTGATGCTATCCTTGCTGCCATGTATGCTGTGACCATTAGTGAGGAGGGTGACTGTTACCGGTGTTTCCCGCCCGACCCGGGCATTGGTACTGCTGCTCCAGGTGCCGGTGAGGCTTCTGCTCTAGGTGCCAGTGCGTCTGTGCTCTCAGGTGCTCGTGAGACTGCGCTCTCAGGTACTGCGTCGGCTTCGGCCTCCCTCACCTTCACTCTTAACTCTGGAGCGTCTCGCTCTTTCTTTCGGGACCGCACCACACTTACGCCGCTTAGTCGGCCGGTTGCGGTTTCCCTGGCTGACCCCTCTGGGGGTCCTGTCCTGTCTCGCTTCTCCACAGTCCTCCCGTGTCCGGCGGCTCCCTCTCGCACCCTGTCTGGTCTCTACCTCCCCTCGTTCTCTACGAACTTGGTGAGTGGTGCTGACCTACAGGATGCGGGAGTCCACCAGTTCACCCCTGCTAGTCAGCGAGTGACGCACTGCACGGAGGCTAGCACGGGTCGTCACCTGGCTACGTTTACACGTCAGCCAGGGTCGAGCCTGTACACACTGACCACTGCTTCTCCTCCAGATGCTGAGCCTGGGGGTGCTGAGCCTGGAGGTGCTGAGCCTGGGGGTGCTGAGCCTGGTGGTGCTGAGCCTGGGGGTGCTGAGACTGGGGGTGCTCCGCCTGGAGGTGCTTTGTCTCGCCGAGAGCCACTCTCCCCACAGGAGCTACGTGAGTGGTTTGCCAGGCGCTGGAGGCGTGCTACTGGTACTGGAGGTTCTTCGACTGCAGAGGGTACTGCTGCCGAGCGTCCCGGAGGTGCTCGTACTGTGGGTGCTGGAGCTGCTGGGTCTGAGGGTTCTCCTGGAGCTGGTGCTGCTGAGGGTGTTGGCGCTGAGACTGCCGCTGGAGGTCCGACTGGCGGTGCTCCTGGTGGTGCTGCTGGAGGTTCTGGAGCTACTGGAGGTGCTGCTGGAGCGGGTACTCCTGCTGGGGGTTCTGGTGCTGTCCCTGCTGTTTCTGACGTCGCCGCGCGGCCCCGGCCGTACTTCGTTCCGCTCCTGCAGCAGGTTCTTGGTCTTACACCTTCTACTAGTCCTCCTCCTCCTCCCTTAGAGGGTCCACAGCCTGTCTCGTCCCAGTCACAGCTACAGCCTGCCTCACCTTTGCCTGCTCCTTCTCCCTACGCTGGTCCGACTGGAGGTCTTACTGAGCGTCGTGAGCCTGCGTCTCGTCCTGCGTCGCCTGTTCGTATTGCGCGCGCTAGTGGTCGCGGTTCGCGTCAGCGTCCTCCTCCTGTCCCTGGCACGCACCGGATGTCTCTGCGTCCGTCTACTGCTCCTCTGCGTGCCCCTTTGCCTTCTCCTCCTGCTTCCTCTCTTCCTGCTCTTGCCGACCCGGAGTCGGACTCTCTTCGTGCTGCCAGTCCTACTGTCACGCGTCTCCTTGCTACTGCTGTCACTGACCCTTCTTTCGAGTCTTTTGCTGCGTCTGCCCTTGTCACTGAGCTCGTCGACTTTGCTGCGCGCTGTCGTCTAGACTACGCTGCTAGTCTTGTCGCTGAGTCTGAGTCTGCCTGTCCTCCGTCCGTCGGGGGTGAGTGTGCCCTTGGCACGGACGTCCTTGAGGACAGGCAGGAGGAGTTCCAGTGTCTGGCCACCGCTTCACCTCATCTCGCGTCTGTACTGCTAGCCCCTGAGGGAGACCCGGATGCACTAGACATCCCGACTCCGCGCTCTTACGCGGAGGCGATAGAGGGTCCCTACTCTTCTCAGTGGCAGGCAGCTATGGATGCAGAGATGGCTTCCTGGAAGTCCACAGGCACCTACGTCGACGCTGTTCCCCCTCCTGGGGCGAACATCGTCAGTGGCATGTGGATTTTCAGGGTGAAGCGGCCGCCGGGTTCTCCGCCTGTCTTCAAGGCGCGTTACGTGGCTCGTGGCTTCAGTCAGCGGCAGGGGGTTGACTACTTTCAGACCTTCTCCCCCACCCCGAAGATGACCACTCTTCGGGTACTGCTGCACGTTGCTGCACACCGTGACTACGAGCTGCACTTTCTTGACTTCAGCACAGCTTTCTTGCAGGGCAGCCTGCACGAGGAGATCTGGCTGCGTCGCCCACCTGGCTTCACTGGGTCTTTCCCTCCTGGTACCCAGTGGAGTCTCCGGCGTCCAGTCTACGGTCTCCGCCAGGCGCCACGTGAGTGGCACGACACACTGAGGACT